ATAGGAGACATCATTATAAATTATAAGTGGTAGATGTTTAAAAAAGGGTGTGTGTGGAAATCACAGGAGGAGACAACCTTCCTTCCTTCTTTGTTATATGTAAACATTCTGTATGCCTAGGTAGAATCTGCTAGCATAAGCAAAATATTTGTAATTGGAATTTTCCGCACTGATTGAGTTTCAATTTATTTTTTTAATTAGAATCATATCTGTAGATTGAATAAACTAACAGTTTCCTTCCAATTTTGCAACGAGAGTCCCTCATAGGATTACAAAATGATTCTAAACCATCACAGGGCAGCAAAAACTTTATTCTTTTTGACAATTAATCATTTTCTTCAAGGCATCTTTTACCTCTTTGTTCCTCAAACTGTAGATCACTGGATTCAGCATTGGGACTATCAGAGTGTAGAATACAGCTGAGATCTTCTCTTGGTGCTGAATGTACACAGAACTGAGTTGCAAATGGCTTAAACTAACTGGCCCGTAGAACATGGTGACTGCTGTTAGGTGGGAAGCACAGGTGGAAAAAGCTTTGTATCTATTCCCAGAAGAATGCATCTTTATGATACTAGTCAAGATACATAGGTAGGAGATTATAATTATCAGGAGAGTAGAAACAGCAATTATTCCAGAGAAGGTGACCAATATAACTTCATTAGTATGGGTATCACTGCATGAAACTTTCAACATAGCTGGCGTGTCACAGAAGAAGTGGTTAATTACACCTGGGGCACAGAACGACACCATAAGCAAGCCAGAAGTGTGGGTGAGGGAATTCACTATTCCCCCTAGGTATGAACCTGCTACAAGCAGGACATAGACCCTTTTGGTCATCATAGTGGTATAGAACAATGGCTTACAAATGGCTACATAGCGGTCATATGCCATTACTGCAAGCAGAAAGCCCTCGGTACTCACAAAGACTACAAAAAAGCAATGTTGGGTGATGCATCCAGCATATGAAACAGTTTTAAATCGTGCTAGATTCATCAAGAGCCTTGGTGCAAAGATGGAAGAGTAGCAGACGTCAACTATAGACAGATTGCCGAGGAAGAAGTACATTGGGGTATGAAGCCGGGGACTGATTCTGATCAATACCACCATTCCCATGTTCCCAGCCAGAGTCAGTAAATAGATCAGGAAAAATATCATGAAGAGGAGCACTTCAAATGCCAGCTTGTCTGTTAGCCCAAGAAGAATGAATTCAGTTACCATGGTGTTATTGTTCATGATCGGTTAGAGGTGACCACCTGGAACGGCACCTGCAAAGAGAAAGGCTGCAGAACAACTCCATTGGTCATATGCCATTACTGCAAGCAGAAAGCCCTCGGTACTCACACAGACTACAAAAAAAATCAATGTTGAGCGATCATGGTGGCATCAGTTAACTCAACTTTAGGCAGCCAGCTTGGAATTGGCATCCTAGCGGAAAATTGGATTTTTAAATGAGATACAGAATTTTTGGAAGATCCTGTTTGTGTGAGAGGTATTTTTCAAACAAAAATACCTTCCATACAAACAGGTTGAATCTGAGTGAAAAATGCTTGGTGGATGGAGAAATCTGCTTATGCAAAAGATCATGTTTTCCCCTTTCTCCTCTTGGAACTCCTATTCCTCAAAAAGCCTTTCTAGATGTCCAGATGAACCAGATAACAGATCATCAGAGTTGGAACGGACCTTGTAGGTCACCTAGGGAGACTCTACACCCTTTCTGACAAATGGCAGTCCAATCTCTTCTTGAAAGTCCCAAGTGATGGTGCTCTCACAACTTTGGAGGGCAAGTTGTTCACATATCGTTGATGGTGTCTTACACGATTGTAGTAAGAAACAGAAATTAACCAACAACTATGTAAAACAATTTTGCATTATTTCTTATACTGGCTGTATGTTTCTCCCCATTGCTCTCTTGAAAAACCACACAACTCACAACGTTGAAATGGTCCTTCTGAATCATTTGAAGAGGTTTTTCAAGAAATATAGACAGCTGCAATAAGGGAAGGACACAAAGCAAGGCATGTTGCCCTTTGTTCAAATAGCATAGGATATAATTTAGGCGATTTCCCTAATGATTGGCATTTTTTTCTAAAGGATTGTTCCCACATCTGCATGGTTTTTGTGGGGGAAAAATGAAAGTCACCAGAAGATTTTTAACTGCAGTTGCTTTTAGCACTATAGCTACAGCAAGTTAAGACAGTAGAAATGATTAATGATTACCTGGATCCTTTGAGTATTGGGCAGCTTCAGCTTCCTCAGCTTCTTTTGAAGATTTGTCCTTCATTGTAGATTTATCGCATGCATTGTTTGAAGTGTTTTTTTCTGATTAACATTAACATATTGTTATACATTAAGAAGATTAATTAAATGATACAAATCATTCCAGTTGTTCCAGGTGAATTACATCTCCCCCCAATCCCAAATAAATTATGCCTAGAAATCCTAGATCACTACTCTGTTACTGTGAGAGTCAGAGGATTCTGGGATTCAAATGAAAATATACGAGCTAAGGAAGCAAGTAAAAATGCTCAGAGCATTTGCTCCTCATTAAGTTTTCCTGAGGTTCCTGCCCAGAAATAGAATTGTATAAACTATACATAAAGCAGATGGACTCCTTTATGGGGGACCTAACACCTCTTAGATAGGCTGTCAAATACTTGAATGTTAACTAAAGTAAAATAAACTATTTTTTTTAAGTACTTCCAGAAGGATCACACTGAGCAGAATAACTTTTAGAAAAGGCTCATTACTGAAGGTGATTAAACAAACAACCATAGAGTGAGGGTGCAAATTTGGAGAACAGAGATTGCAGAAGAAGATGGATCTAGTGGATGCCTTATGGCTATCGCAATCTTCTGCCTCCATTTGTTAAATGTAATTATAACCCATTGGACAAGGTGATCTAGACTGTGCAATATTTGTATTCCAAAGTGGTGGGGTCAAGAACAATATTCTCTTTCCTTTTTAAATAAACACTGTCCAACTATTTACTAAATCTGTGTTACTATTAATTTTCTCATCGTTCCTGTCACCCATCTCCTCCCACTTATGACAGTATGACTGTAACTTTGTTGCTTGTATCCTTACGATTTATATTGACTGTTTCCTAGTATGATTTGATTGCTTATCGTACCCTATAACTATCATTAAGTGTTGCACCTTATGATTCTTGACTCTTGACGAATGTATCTTTTCTTTTATGTACACTGACAGCATTTGCACCAAGACAAATTCCTTGTGTGTCCAATCACACTTGGCCAATGAAGAATTCTATATTCTATTCTATATTCTATTCCTCTTCCCCCTTTCCAGAATAAATATAGCACATTTCTATTTAAGTTCTTCTAGTCTCTCTCTCCCTCTCCCTCCCGCTCTCTCTTTGCAAATTGGGCTGAAAATTTAATTCACCACTGAAAGAAGAATGCTTAAAGAACATTTGAAGGATATACCAGATCAGGGGTGGGATTCAAATTTTTTAACAACCAGTTCTGTGGGCATGGCTTAGTTGGTGGTCATGTGACTGGCTGGGCGTAACGAACTCATCATCACTCACATTGAGGCATGCATCTCCTTGCCTGGCTTCTCATGACTGTGGGGATGCTGCAACAGTCATAAGTGTGAAAAACAGTCATAAGTCACTTTTTTCAGTGCCATTGTAACTTTGAATGGTCACTCCACACAAGCAAAGCACCAGCAAAGGAGGGAAAAAAAACTCCAGAGACATTCCTGAGACAGGAAGTCTAGTCCTGCCAAGAATGAAATAAGGGTTAACGGAGAGGCAGTTTCTGTAAGCAACACCAGAATGTTTCCTTCCTGCCTTCCTTACAGGATTAGGCTAGTAATTTCTTCTAACAGCCGGTTCTCTGAACTGCTTAGAATGTTAACCACCTGTTCTAGTGAATAGGTGCGAACTAGTAGAATCCCACCCCTTACCAGATGCAGAGTAGCTAAGAATCCTTTCTAATTTGGTTCTGAAAATTATTCCTTATGCATAAAAAATACCTTAACTCTTAAAAATAAAAAAAATAAATACCAACCTTTGCAAAGGTAGCCTTGGGTATTTGCAACAGGCAAAATGATGTTCATTTCAGCTTTTAGATGCTATTTGCTGCCACACAAACAATATTTTAAATTGAAGAATCCCAGTAGCTTTGCTGGATTTTTTTTTCAGTTTTTGCTCTTAGGCATCATAGGCATCTGATCTTCATAGACTATTATCCTGAAAATATTCAATTACTTTTTCTCTATGTTCTTGTATTTCACAGCACTATAAGCAATGTAAAGGCAATCCAGAAATAATTTTTTATCACTAACACTATCCTAAATGAATGTAAGAAGCCAATTGACCTAGTCCTTGGAAGGATTGCATCACTTTTCAGTATAGGTTTACACAGAAGAGGCGAGCTGGTCACAGACTTAATGATTTTGGATAAATAAGCTGAATCAATAGCATCCTTGAAGTAACTTCATCTTCAGAGTCTTAAGGGAAATGATTCCAGGCTATCCTCCTGGGAGCTTTAACGTTGTATTACTTTTAAATTATTCATAATTGATGCTTATTTTTTGTTAAATAGAAAAACAAACCAACACAATTTCCTAATATCTAATTACTTTGCCCCATTCTGAGGATTCTCTGTGCCAGATCAATGAAGAAAAGTAACACCACTGTTCCAAACCTGATACTGTACAGCAGTATGGTTTCTATAATATAGATTGCTAGTGTCTTTGTGTTTGAAAGACAATGGGTAATGTAAAGGAATACATTTGTGTGAAATTTGTGAATGAAATAAGACTGTAGTTCACTTGGATTTTGTGCGATCTAGATAAAAGTTGGATTTATGCAGATCCTCAGAGATCCCCATGTGGGTTCCATCTCCAAATTGAAGGTCACACCCATCTGATATTGCAATGACAAAACTAATATTGTTTGGCATCACCAAATGTGCAAAAACACAAATCCAAGCTATGGATTCTCACATGTCCTCACTATTTTTACATGAAATTTAGCTAATGCTACAATCAAAACATATACAGCCAGGGGTAGGATTCTATTGGTTCGGACTGGTTCAGGCAAACCCCTTGTTCCGATGATCAGCTGGCTCCAAACTGGTTCGCTGTGATGAGCATATGGGCCCACCCGCCTGCCCCTGCTCTTTCCTGTCCTTTATTTCCTTTGTTTAGAGCTCAGCTGATTGACACATCAGAGTGGTTTGCCATCCCTCAGCTGTTTTATTCACAGAGGCTTCAGTTGAAGGTAAGTATGGGCTTTTTACAATGTGGAGTGAGCAATCACTGAACCAGTTGTTATACCAGTGGAATCCCACCCATACAGCATCCATCTTCATGGAGTGATCTACAATCATCACACCCACCAAAGAACCAAAATGGATTCAGAGTCGGGAAGGTGATCTAGAACCCTTGGATCACATACCACCAGTTAAATAAAATTCATTGTTTTACTCTACAAGCTCAGGGAAATTTGGATTACTAAATCCCTAATATCCAATCATGTTTTAAGGAATCCTCTAAAACCCTTGTAAGAATGCATTAAGCTTGCTTTGGATCTATCTTTTAAATTCTTCTGATGTTATCTTCTTTTGATTGGGATTGGGCTGCAGGTCATAATATGATAAATGTCTAGTTGTCATTAGAGTTCAAATGAGCAAATAAATATTGATGACATGCTGCCAAAGTGTCCCTCCCCTAAAAAACTGAGTTACATATTGGCAGTTTTCTTGTACTCTTTACATGCAAAACAATAATTCTGTTTAGAATGGGAAACTGAATGATATGGAGCAGGGGTCGCCAACTTTTTTGGCTTGGTGGACTGGCAGAAGTGGCGGCGGCAGCAGGGGGTGGAGATAAAGGATGATTTCATATGTGTTCACACATCATTTGCACAGCCTGGTCTGAACAGGTTGCGGTCTGGCACTGGACCACAGACCAGAGGTTGGGGACCCCTGATGTGGAGAACAGTGGGTGCCAATCCAATATAAATGGTAATATTTCTTTTTGCTTCTAAGTCACTCCAATTTTTTACTTCTCTGGAACAGATTTACAGATGTTTAAAAGAAAAAAAAACAAGAACTCAGGTTCTATTGAAATGTGGAACCTCTCCTTAAGTTTATGCTTTTTGGCATAAACGAGAAAACTTTTCAGAGCTTGGTATCAGAGAGTTAACATGAGAAATACAAAGTAACTCAATGAAGACAATAAGGTAAATAGGCCACCATGCTTCTCTAAACTCAGAACTGCAAATATAATAACAATCCTCCAATCCAACTTAGTAGAGAGTCTAGATGATGTGAAGACTGCAGCATATGAGAGACCATGATAAGTACAATGGTGAGGGGAAGAAGATGGTCAACAATATTGAGGAATATTTTTTAGTAATTTCTCAGTTTATTTACAGGTGAAACTCAAAAAATTAGAATATCATGCAAAAGTTCATTTATTTCAGTAATGCAACTTAAAAGGTGAACCTAATATATGAGATAGACTCATTACATGCAAAGCAAGATAGTTCAAGCCATGATTTGTCATATATGATTATGGCTTACAGCTCATGAAATCCGCAAATCCACAATCTCAGAAAATTAGAATATTGTGAAAAGGTTCAATATTCTAGGCTCAAAGTGTCCCACTCTAATCAGCTAATTAAGCCATAACATCTGCAAAGGGTTCCTGAGCCTTTAAATGGTCTCTCAGTCTGGTTCAGTAGGAATCACAATCATGGGAAAGACTGCTGACCTGACAGTTGTGCAGAAAACCATCATTGACACCCTCCATAAGGAGGGAAAGCCTCAAAAGGTAATTGCAAAAGAAGTTGGATGTTCCCAAAATGCTGTATCAAAGCACATTAATAGAAAGTTATGTGGAAGGGAAAAGTGTGGAAGAAAAAGGTGCACAAGCAGCAGGGATGACCGCAGCCTGGAGAGGATTGTCAGGAAAAGGCCATTCAAAAATGTTGGGAACTTTCACAAGGAGTGGACTGAGGCTGGGGTCAGTGCATCAAGAGCCACCACAACAGATGGATTCTGGATATGGGCTTCAAATGTCATATTCCTCTTGTCAAGTCGCTCCTGAACAACAAACGCCAGAAGCGTCTTACCTGGGCTAAAGAAAAACAGAACTGGTCTGTTGCTCAGTGGTCCAAAGTCCTCTTTCCTGATGAGAGCAACTTTTGCATCTCATTTGGAAACCAAGGACCCAGAGTCTGGAGGAAGAATGGAGAGGCACACACTGCAAGATGCTTGAAGTCCAGTGTGAAGTTTCCATAGTCTGTGTTGATTTGGGGAGCCATGTCATCTGCTGGTGTTGGTCCACTGTGTTTCATTAAGTCCAGGGTCAATGCAGCCGTCTACCAGGAGATTTTGGAGCACTTCATGCTTCCTTCCGCAGACAAGCTTTATGGGGATGCTGACTTCATTTTCCAGCAGGACTTGGCATCTGCCCACACTGCCAAAAGCACAAAACCTGGTTCAATGACCATGGGATTACTGTGGTTGATTGGCCAGCAAACTCGCCTGACCTGAACCCCATAGAGAATCTATGGGGCATTGCCAAGAGAAAGATGAGAGACATGAGACTGAACAATGCAGAAGAACTGAAGGCTGCTATTGAAGCATCCTGGTCTTCCAGAACACCTCAGCAGGGCCACAGGCTGATAGCTTCCATGCCACGCTGCATTGAGGCAGTAATTACTGCAAAAGGGGCCCAAACCAAGTACTGAGTACATATGCATGCTTATACTTTTCAGAGGTCTGATATTGTTCTATGTACAATCCTTGTTTAATTGATTGCATGTAATATTCTAATTTTCTGAGATTGTGGATTTGGGGTTTTCATGAGCTGTAAGCCATCATCATCACAATTATGACAAATCATGGCTTGAACTATCTTGCTTTGCATGTAATGAGTCTATCTCATAGATTAGTTTCATCTTTTAAGTTGCATTACTGAAATAAATGAACTTTTGCACGATATTCTAATTTTTCAAGTTTTACCTGTATGGCTTTATTCTATGAGTTACAAGCTGTCTATTATGAAAAGACAATTGCATTGGATATTCTTTATTACAGTGCAAACACTTATTTTCAGAGAGAACCCTTTCTTCCATGGAAAACCATGTAGAGAGGAAAACACCGTTCTCATACTGTCATTAGATGTGTATCTTCAAAACGCATTTCCAAGGACTAGAGATCTCTGCTAACAGATGTTTCTGTGTGGGTTGGAATAATTAAAGTGGAATATTGGAAACTTTCAAAAGTGAGAATAAAATTGTGCATTGCTCATGTGAGTGTATATATGATTGAGAGGAGGGCAGAAGGAAAACTAAGTGAGATTTAAAATTATTGAGTGGCTATAAAGATGTTTCTTTTCTCCTTTAAGTTATTTTAAGCAAAATCAAGGACCAGGGAAGATCATTTACCAATCCTGCTGTTTGCCTTGCAATTTATGTCCAGAAATTCCTCTGGAAAAGATATTTTATCAAATTTACATCATTTGTTGTTGTTTGTTTTTATTTTGAGATATAATCTACATTAAGAAATTCTTTGTTAAGACTTCATATTTTTTTCTGAAATGTGGCCATTTTTCTTTGTTCACTCTGAAGATAAAGTAAAAGAGATATTTACTGGGACCCCAGTTCTCTTCCAAACACTTTTTTCATGGCATATTTTACATCCTTATTCCTCAGGCTGTAGATCAATGGATTCAACAGGGGTATTATTACTGTGTAAAACACAGATGCTGTTTTGTCAGTGTCAAGGGAATAGCTAGAAGTGGGCCGGAAGTACATGAAAAGAATAGTTCCATGATATATGGCCACTGCTGTGAGATGGGATGTACAGGTAGAAAATGCTTTATGCCTCCCTTCTGTGGAGTGAATCCTCAGAACTGCAGTAATAATGAATATATAAGAAGTAATAATGATCAGCAAGGTGCTCATCTCAAACAAACTGCCAAAAGTGAATATCAGCATCTCATTCATAGATACGTCATTGCAAGCCAGTTTCAGAAGCTGGGTGACATCACAGAAAAAGTGATTGATGCTGCTGGAGCCACAAAAGGACAATCTTAACAAACCACAAGTTTGAATCATAGAGTTCACAACTCCCCATAGATATGAGCCAACTATCAATCTGATACAAAGCCTCTTAGTCATCACTGAAGTGTAGAGCAAAGGGTTGCAGATGGCCACATAGCGATCATATGCCATAGCAGCCAATAGGAAGAACTCAGTTGTGGCAAATATTGCGAAGAAACAATATTGTGTGATACAGGAAGCATAAGATATGGTTTTCCTATCCACTAAAAAGGTCACCAGCATTATAGGTGTGATGGTAGTGGAGTAACAGGCATCTAAAAAGGATAGGCTGCTAATAAAGAAGTACATGGGGGTATGCAACTGGGGAACAACCCAAATTAATAAAATCATCCCAAGATTCCCGAGCAGAGTGGCAATATAGATGATTAAAAACGTTGCAAAGAGCAATTGTCGCATTTCCAGGTGTTCTGTGAGTCCAAAAAGAATGAAGTTGGTCACCAAAGTGTAATTTGTTCCAGGCATTGGTTTCATTCCCTTTTTCCTGTGAAGAAAATCAAGAAAAATATTTCTCAAAAACATACAGTTTGCAGAACTCTGAGCAGGTAGCTTCAATTTTCCCTTTCTCCTGAATATAGGATTTGTGATGAGAGAGTGTTTAATTGATGAATTAGGGTGGGGAAAGGAGATTGTAGTTTTCCTCTCTTTACCTTTTTGCTATGCCATTATTCTGCTTGCAAGAAGAGGGATCTTATTTTTTTGAAGAGGACATCTTTGAGAGAACATTTCACTTTGATTCTGGCAACAACAGTCAAAAAGTCAATACAATTATTTTAAATTTAGGATTATTTTGCCTTTAACATATACCCTAATGGTTTTTTTAAATTTATTTTTGATTTTCCAATAAATACAGTAGATTTGTTGAAGTATATTTCTTACTGAAAATGTACTTTTTTGTCTCAGAAGTTTAACGTTATCACACAGTAATATATCTATATATATAAAAGCGAAATACTACTCACGCATCATCACAAAATCTCCAAAACCAGAAAGCCTACAAACTTGAAATTTGGCACACATGTTCCTCTTGACTTCTAGGTGCTCACTAAAAAATGATTTTTCGAAATGACCATCAGAGCATTAGTATTTCATATATTATTATTAACACACTCCGATGCTAAGGAGTTCTACTCCCCCTTCCCACCTGAAAAGAAATATGTTCCAAATGCAAAACACAAGCAGAGGAGAGGAGTTTCAGTTTCACTTTTAGTTTCACAGCAGCAACTAGCTTTAGTACAGAACAGCTGAGCTAAGCGTCCAGCCTCTTTGCTATCTCCTTCTTGCTCACACAGCAAATACTGTTTCAGTTTTCAAACAGCCCTCAACACTCTCTCACACTGACAGGACACTAGCCAGATGAATACCAATGGATTCTGGTAGGAAGAGGCAGATTCCACCCCCCTTATTTTCCTCCCCAAAAACTAAGCCCGACCACATAGTTTTGTAGCGAAGCACGGGTATCGAGCTAATTATAAATATAAGTGTTCATACAGCTGGCCTGACTAAGAGAACTGAATATGTGATATATTATACAGATTTTTTTTGTTATTGGAGATAATAAAAAATTCTCTGGATTGCAAAAACAATGTCCATGAAGTTCCTTGTAATGTAATGAAGCCTAGTGTGCTCCATGTGGACTTCATCAATTGCCTTCACACCTAAGTTCTGCAGAAGAACAACAGTTTCCTCAAATCTGTGGGGTGATCATCTCACTAAAATCATAGATAGCAGTGCTTAAAATACATTATGGTATAGAAAGATGAACTGCCCTGAAACAGAAAAATGTTATGACATTTTCAAGATCGCAGTTTCTCTTTGGTGTTCTGACTGGCAGGAGTAAATTTAGGCACATAGGCAGTTACAGAAGAAAGGAAGGGAAACATTTAAACTTCTTAGAATCACCTGCAAACTGGAATGTAGCTTTGAAAGAAAGAAATGGCAAATAAGCCAAAGCAGATAGACAAATGTGTGTGTGTTTCTGTGTGTATTATTCTCTAGGATATGCTGCTGGAATGTGAGGTAACAGAATAGAAGATGGAGGAGAGGAAGCAGTGACTGAGAGAACCATGAACCAGACTATCCCCCGTCAAAAGATGCAAAGACTGGGAAGGAGTTTGTGGCACCAGGAACCAGAGGAGGAATTTGCAAAGAGAGAGCCAAAGAAGAAAACAGCCAGAGATTGTAGATGGTGCAAAGCAGGAGGGTCAGGTGCTAGAACTGGACCAAGCAAGTAAAGAAGGATAAACCTTGATATATTCATGGTTGGGCAGACAGGAGAAGTTACTGGCATTCTTAAGGTTTTGGTAAATCCATGTAAGAGGAGAGAAGAAACTAGCCACTAAAAGTTTTGTATTATCAAGGAAAGGAGTGGAGTAAAGGTTTGATTCTACTCCTTTGACATTTAGTTATTTTAATATTCCCTAGAGTTAGACTTTGTTAGTGTACATACTTAGGTATACACTTGATTCTCTCTCTCTTTCTCTCTCTCTCTTTCTCTCTCTCTCTTTCTCTCTCATACAAATATCCCCAGACGCATATGCCTAGAATTATTGTAATATCTAAAATTATATAGTAACAAATAGTTCTCTATTCACTTGTTAGTGGTGTCTGTATCTCTGGCTTTGTTCCTATCCATACTCAACCTATGACAGAAGAAATCTAAGCTTCTCTGGAAATATTATTATTATTACTGCAAGTAATAAGTACCAAGTTAGTAAGTCAAAGAAACTGCGTACTCAGTAATATATGGAAACTCTTGCAGGTATAATGTTTATAATATCTTGTGTGAGCGGGTTTTTTTTGTATATATGTGACGGGGGAATAATTAGATATAAAGATTTGACTAACATGCTATATTATGTTAGCCATAATAAATATAATAAAATTACATTTATTTGAGGAAATATAAACATAGTTAAGAAAAGAGAGATGAACTTGAAAACCCATATACATTTTCTTGTAATCTCCAAAAGCAATGAAATTTAAACCAGTTCCTAAAGGATATTGTATCTGAGACATATGCACCATTTGGGAGTTCTAAACAGAATCAGCTCATGTCCAACTATTTATTTTTGCGTTATGTAATATCCCCCATTATTTTTGCAATCCAATATTTATTCATTTAGAAACTTCTATAGTGCATATGATATATAAAATAATCCTAAATAGCTCACATTAATATTAAATAGAAATAGAATATGCAAAACAAAATCAACCACATGACACCACATATTACAAGCACAACATCACACCAAATAGACTCCTCTTGCCCTTACTTTTCCTGGGCTACCTAGTCCAGTGCCTGGGTGGTGAGGCAGGTCTTTTCAGGCCTCTGAAGGACTAATACTAGGGTTGGAGTTCCTTGGAAACCCAGGTTGAAAGGCACAATCGTTCAGGCTCAAATTATCCTACTCTGGGCAATGCTCTGAAGATTCAGCTCTCTGGAGAAGGCTGTAATGCTCGGAAAGGTGGAAGGGAAGAGAAAAAGAGGACAATCAGCAGTAAGGTGGATGGACGCCATTACAGGAGTGATGGATGCACCATTGGAAGTCCTAAAGGAAGAAATTAGGGATATACATTAACAAAATCTATCTATGCAATTGTCAAAAATAAACAATGACCTGAAGTCATATTAACAATCATTATCAATAGGAAAAAAAGTGTTCTTAATCTAAAATGAAGCCATACATAGCAGCTGGGCTCTCTTCCAAGCTATTTCTTTCTTTTGACTATGGAAATATTATAGAAGTATTCATGGGATGTGTTTGTCTCTTCCCTACCCTAAGTGGAAAAGAAATCAAGCCAACTCCAAGGATGTTCTTCATTTGAAAACAACAGAATCAAATGCACCAATTCAGTTTGTAGCTGAAGCATGAAAAAATGATGCCCATCTAAATAAGAAGAGGACCTTGTCAGTATAATCTGTGCAAACTTCTTAAAGAACAAGTCATATATGGCACATTATAGGTTTAGTAAATCAGACACTGTTGCAGCAAAGTTATTTACAGGTCCTTTTATACCTCACATATGACTAATGAACTTTGAATCTGAATAGATCGTTTTATTCTGAAGATTGCTTGTGAGAAATAGACAAAATTGAATCAAACTAATAAAAGATGCACTGCCTACCTTTAAGCAGGATTTAGCATTTAAAAAGCATTCAGTTCAAGCAATAAGGCTGAAGGCTGGGTTTTCTGAAATATTTATATCAAAACTTATGAAATGCTCAATAACATCCCTAAAGCATGGTAATTAAAGTTCCTCCCAGATGTACATATTTAGAGGATTGTAATTGGTCTCAAAATGATCCCGGTTGTTGCATTATATCATTTTTTAAAATATTTTTTTCTTTTTTTCTTTCTCTCTTTTGAATGAGGAATGAATCTCTCCGTACACGTTCCTATGAAGATTCTCAGTATTAGATAATCATATCTGCAAAGAGACAGACAGTTTACATGGAATGAGACAATCTGTGAAATAAACCAGTCTGTAGATATTTGGGGGGGAAGGGGTGAAAAATAATAACAGATGCCTGGAAATTAATTGATGGCATCTGGAAAGGAACTACAATCAATATAGTTGTTATGATATTATAGTCCATTTTTCTTTAAGTTACCAGAGCAGAAAAGTACGAATGTTACATAATACATTATGTAATGTACAAGGTTTCACATGAGTTCTACCCTCTGTTCCTTTCTGAGGTGGGGATTCTCTGTTTTTACACAGTGTTTATCCTATGTTGATCACCAGGAAGCAATATGTGACCAGTTTTGTCCTAATTGGCACCCTTCAGTATGTTTGTCTTTTAATTATGGTCTCCAAAGTTGAGAAGACAGAGAAAAGAGGAATCACCTGTATACAGTCACTACAATACTTGGAGCTAAAACCAAAGAATAGTCAAAAGCTGAATTTATTCTCAGTGAACAAGAGACAGTGGCAAGGAAATTAACACAGAAATAAATGGAGGTTATCATTTTAATAACTCTTGTTCAGGCTTTTAAAGTTACTGAATTCATATAGATAATAACTTCAGAGAATGAGATAGAACTGAACATTTTGATGATAAAGCAGAGATCTGATTTTTCTGGTGGGAACAGGAAAGAGATGTCATAGTGAATGATTCACATGACAAAAATACTGATACCAGCTTAAAAATACTGCTAAATATGGAGAATCAGTTGTTTTACATGGTCCAATAGACTCTCTCTGTCTTCCACAAGCAATGGACAACTATACTATAAGAGCATCCGGAAGCCGCAGTTGGTGCAAAATACAGCGGCCCACATGGTTTTGTGCAGACCCAGGTGTGCACATGTATCACCTCTCCTGTGGGAGCTACATTGGTTGCTGATTTGCTTCTGGGTGCAATTCAAGGTGCTGGTTGTCACCTTTAAAGCCCTTCATGGCTTGGGACCAGGTTATCTGAGGGATTGTCTCTTGCCAGTCACATCCACCTGACCCATCAGAGCGGGGAG